TTCCCTTGCCTCTCCTCAGATTCCCCCTCTGCAGGACAAACCTGCGTGCTAACCTGTTCTGACATGATTCCACTTCAGAAAGCTGGACTGGAAGCCAGCCTGCGAGATACAGAAGGCCGATACTGCGCCCAGCTGGCCCAGATTCAGGCCCTCATCACCAGCGTTGAGGAGCAACTGAGTGAACTGCGGTGCGACATGGAGCGTCAGAACCAGGAGTACAGGATGCTCATGGACATCAAAAGCCGCCTGGAGCAGGAAATTGCCACCTACCGCCAGCTGCTGGAGGGCCAGGACTCTCAGTACGTAACAATACACAGCCCCTATGCTGATTAGATAAGGTTAATAACCTGACACACTGTAAAGCAGTAAGTTGTGATTGCCAGGCTGACTCCAGATCACTTAAATTGCACTCGCTGCATATGCAGCCTTTGGAGTTCTGGCAAAGCAGATGCCCAGCAATGTCCCAGGCGCTGCTGTAACTCAAGCTGAATCTCCAGATCAATTGTGCTCATGGTTTAGAAATATAAATGCAACTATTTTGACTACAATGAATGAAAGAAGACACCAGGCACCTTATGTGTGTCTTACATGATACTCTTGTTGCACTGGAATTATAGTCTTTAGTCTGACGTAACTTATAAAAACCCATTCTCAGTGTTTCTTTAGCTTTTGGTGCTCTACACTTGTACACAGAGGTGAAAATGCTCATACTCATACACCAGTACTCCCAGCCAGAAAATAACTTGGCACAGACTACAGTTACTTTACTCAAATCTACATTTTAGTGACCATTTCTCATATATGCTCTATACATGGAATTCCTTTTGATTTCTGAGGAGGCATCAGCTCCTTACATTGTTTCTAGATTATGACATTTTGAGAAGGGAAGCACAGAGAGCCCTGTCGGAATCAAGAACTGGTCTGACTGCTGTTCCTATGTCCTGCTGGGTACCTGGGAGTGGCCTTCAGAGCAGAAACCTCCTTAACAATGGTACTAGTAAGGACACACCTGAGGCACAAACCATTGAAGGGAGCAGTGTGAGACCAGGGCTGGGCACCCGTGGCACTTCCTTGGTGGATGAAGGGTTTCAGTGGGTAGGATCAGTGATGGTCACTAATCAAGTATTTCTTCTTTCCTACAGGATGTCAGCAGTGAACCCTAAGGATGGTAAGCAAAATTTTGATTTAAAGAGGGGCTGAAATGATTAAATAAACTCAGAGTTTCTTCTTACTAACAGATTCCATTCTGTCTGCAATGACCGCATTCCTTATCATTTCCTGAAAAAATGCAATACTTTATCTTAGTGTATGTGCACTCTGTGCTTACCAAAATGACTGCATGAATTCCTCATGGGATTCTAAACTACCAAAATCTCCCAAAGATTCCTAAATTCCTTTGATTCACACACCACACAAGATATATTCAAATCTGATTTGTGATGTGCACCCTTAGGATTTACTGGGTTAAGATGGAAAGGCAGTTCCCTCTTTGGAATGTGAAAAAGACCTTGTGAGAAACAACCCCCCCATCATGCAGCTCCTCAGTGTTAGCACTACACTGGCCTTTTCCCTAACTGACTTTGCTTTTCTCCCACAACAGCATCTGCAAGCAGTAGTAGAGTTCGCATCAGTGTGGAAGATGATGGAAAACATACTTCTTCTCGTGACAGGAGATACTAGGAAAGAAACACGGCATCCTCTCTTGCATATGGCACCATATATAAGCAGCGCAGCCTGCATGCTGGCTAATGCTGAGAGAAATCATCCCCTTGTACTGCTGCCATATCACAAGAATGTAATCCAAGAATGTGCACCAGCTTGATAGCTGGCCTTAAACTTGTTCTCCTCTTTACCTGCTTGTGTGACTCTGTGCTCAGAGATGACAAGCTTGTTTTCTGTCTGCAGCTATACGGTTTCCTTATAAAAGAACCTGCATAATAAAGTTGCTGTTCTGCTTGTGCAAGTATATCCAGCCTATGTTGTTTTTCTGAGGTCAGAATGACCCTACCATGCACACGACCACACACCCACAAGAGATGCTCAAAGCATAACAACAGCAAGAACAACTTCAACAAGAATTATAAAGATGATAATGAACAAACACATATAAAGTGCCATTAGATTCCCCCAGGAATCTGAAGCTAGTATCAGTAAATACCTGAGAAGAGAATGCAAACAGTCCTTGGGCTCTTTGGCCCTGAATTCCAGGTACACAACATCACTATAGTTCATGCACAAATAAAGTGCACCACTAATGTCGTTCCATATACGTATTTACGTTCCTGCACTTCCTTCAGCCAAAAGGCAAATTCCTTCAGTGCTTGAGGAAGCACCAGGCAAGGTCCAGAGGAAATGGAACTGTTCAGTCAGCTTGCTGTGACTGTTTTGGCTTCCCTACATGACAAACAGTTTCATCAGGCCACTGCCTTTGCCAGCAGCAGGTAGTTTGCAAGGCTGCACTGCAGTCATGGCAGAGCCCCACTTGTAAAGACTTCAGAAGCATATAAAACATTCCCATAAATGCTGTATTTTGCTAATAGAACCTGTTAGGAAAATGTGTCATTAGCCTCATCGCTGCATATTTCAATCCACATCACAGTATCTACAGATACAGCAACATTTCCAGAATTATGTTGCTAGAATCATTTCTATCATATCTGTTTCTAGCATCATTTCTAGAATTATCTATTTTATTTCCCTTCCAACCTCTCAGAGCCACTATTTTTCTGTCTTCAATTTTCTGACATTTTAAACAAAACCTTCAAGGCAGCTGGCCTCATCCTCACAGCTGAGCCCTAAAGGAGGCTGTAGGGCCTTTGGTGTGCCACTGCTGGTATTCCCACAGGAAAGAATGGAAAGGAGCAAAGCAACATCACAATCTACCAGAAAAGACAAACCAAACAGTACAAACGGTATTTTTCCTGATCCAGAAATGAGGTGCCTATTATCTGTATCACTCAGACTGCAGGAGAGAGATCCTATGGCCCGAGGCCATGATCCATTTGTATTGCTGATGGGGGAGTTGAATCAATCAGTGATGGTCGCTGGATCTTCACTTGTACAACGCAGGTGTCCAAATATTCTGCCCATACTTAAACTGCAGCCTATAAATTCAGCTCAGTTCGCTTTTCACGGTCCAATTCAGTAAAACACGTAGGAATCCCAAACAAAGCCACTGGGGACGAGGCAGCCCCGGTCCCGCCAGCCCAGGTCAGCTCCCAGGCAGAGCAGGCTGCAAGTCCCCATCCAATGGTGCCATCTGCTGACAGCGGGTTCTCTCTTCACTCACCGTTGCTTTCATTCCGTACCGTGGTTTTTTGGTCTTCTCCATGGATCCTCAGCAAGAGTTGATGAAAACTGAGTGGCAACTTTTCCAGTTTGAAAGGGTTGTGCTTCAGACGAAACACATCCTCTGTGCCAGGGAATGACTTGCCAGCAAAAAAACCCCATGATGGCTCCGTATTTCATGAAACTACTGTGAAGTGAGAGGCTGCTCTGTGCCACACACTGTCAGCCTCACTGCCAGGCAAGCTGTGAATCCCACTGAGAAATTCCACACGAAACAAAGGATTCATTTTCTTTCACGTAGTATTATGTACACATATATGTAGTTATATTTCAGTGTCATATTTCATAGAACATTAGCTGGCTGAACTGCCAGGCTAGAAAATTCAGTCTGAAATTAGTCTGAATGAGCTAATACCATCAGGATATCATTGCTTCTATTAGAATTTCTTTGGGTTTCAGCTTAGGCCTTCGTTTTCTGGCTGGAGCTTTAAGCTCTGCTACCTCTTCAGCTGCAGGGCTGACACTGAACTGTCACTATGAACTGTACCTGTTATCAGGAGACTCTGTGATAGCCAAACCTCAGACTTACTGCAGACGCCTATCTTCAGTGATCCATTTCCCCACACAGTTAAAAGTGTTGGCATTTCTGTACAATGAAGTGCATGAGGAGAAAGAATGGATCTGTACTCCGTGGAAATGAAACTGGTAAAAAGAAAACCAAGAGGTGCTGAGCAGAGCCGAGGAGAGCCACAAGGAGGAGCTCAGGACCTGCTCATTCCCAGGATGGGGACTGGGAAGCATCCCGAGAGGGATGAGGTGCAGCAGTCCTGTATTACTGAAAAACCTCAAGTGAAACAAACAGAGAAAATAACGATTCCGTCAGGTTTCTTCCAGGATGGTGCAATTCTGCTCTGCACGGTCCCTCCAACCCAGTCAAATGAGTAACAGTGCTGGGTAAGCTTGGCACAGAGCTGAGCCTCCAACTCGGCACCGTGTCTGGTGCTGAGAGCCCATGTCCACCCAGCTTCCCACCTCTGCTCACATCTGCTTCCTCCCTCCTCTCCCTCCGAGGAGGATAAACCAAGTAACCCCGTCACCATCTCCTGAGCATCACGAGGAGTCACAAAACCCTTGCCAAAACCAGACCTGCCTATTCTGTATTTCATGAAGTGTGACAAAAGTCACTGAAACTTCTGAGAAAGGCTTTTCCTGCTGATTTCCAGGTCAGTATTTCAGGCTGGCAGCTTTAAATAATCACTTGAATTCTTTTAGTGTTGTTACAAACTCATATTCTAAATATTTTCTATAGCTAAACATATAAATACCTTCATAGTATTGACACTGGTAACAGCATATATCTCCATTACTGTGGGTTCCAAAAAGACTATGGAAATACAACGGCACCTCAAATCATTAAAAAAAATCATTAGGAAAGATTGTTAAGATCCAATTCTCCTGTATTTCACCAGGGATGGATCGCTGGAGGGACTAGCTAAGCCTTCCTCACTTTGGACTGCAGTTTTAGTCAAATGGCAAATGTTGGACAACTTCCTTAAAGCCACTCACAGGCTGCAGCTGTGCAGTATGTTAACGACAGCTTAATGGGATGTGCTTTGGGATTCACAATCTGCTGTAGTACTAGAGAAATACAACAGACAGAAAGTGTCTTGAGAGCCCCATCCTCTCTATGTAGTCTGGAACGGCTGATCCTCTGCACCTCATACACAGAAAAACATAACATATTAACTGCAGGGCTAGAGAAAAGTCTGAGGCAGAGCTGATCCTGTTCCACACCTCCTGATTGTAGCCACACCTCACCATTATCATATGAAAAGAGAAAGAAAAAAACAAAACCAAAACAACCAAAAGGAAAGCAGCCCGGTATGTGGCTGAGATTCCAAATAACAACAGTGTGTGCAGCCTCATAAATGCTTCAGAATTGACCAAGAGGAAGCACGTTTCATGATGACACAATCTTGTTGCTGTAGTCATTCATCGAAGGGAAACTCCCACAGGAAAAGGCATAAAGCTGCTTAGGGAAGGCTAAGAAGCTGCTCAGCGGTAGTCAGTCAAACATTGGGTTAGATTCACACCAGAGCTAACATGAGCACCAGCCAAGGCCCTTTCCAATTTTCTTCTGGGTCCCTCAGGGGTAGTTCAGGGTGTGGTCTGGCCCAGCCAGGAACTGCTTTCAGACCGTCAAGTGCAGGTGGTGGTGCCAGCAGCACACAAACCTCCTTCTCCTCCGCCAGACCCCTCTGGCTGGCTGCTGGCGGAGGGGCACCTTGGGGAGGCTTCGGCGAGCACCATGGGGAAAGCATCTTCCTGGGTGGGAATGAGAAACAGACTATGCAAAACCTGAATGACCGTTTGGCTGCCTATCTGGACAAGGTCCGTTCCTTAGAAGCAGCTAATGCTCAGCTGGAAAGCTGCATCCTAGAGTGGCACAAGACAAAGTCTCACGGCAAGAGGCATGACTTCAACCAATACGAGCAAAACGTCACTGACATGCAAAGACAGGTAAGTCACAGCTGCAAGTAACTGTGTCATTCTGTGCTTTTTTAAGAAATCTGGGTGCTCATTTCTGCTGATGGCTTTCCTTTAAAGAAAGTTAAATAAAACCTTTTCAGTGCTAGAAATACTAATGCAAGTGGGTACAGGACCTGGGCATGTACATTCTTTGGGCTCCCGAGAAGGAGAGTGGGGTACTGGAAGGAAAGAAAGGTTGCAGATGGCAAAGGGGGGTTCTGCAAGAGCTGTAGCATAAAAGGGTTTGTACTGCCAAGTGTTCATCTCTGTACATGAAACTGTGGTTGGAGTAACTACATCTGGCAGAAGCTGGTCTTTTTGACTGCACATGTATTCAAGCAAATTACAAAGCAGGCAAGCTGAAGAGCCTGCCTTCTTTCATGCGTGCTCTCTTTAGACATACTGTTGCATTTTGGTTCTTTGATTCCTGTGGTGGCAGACAATGAAACTACAGGAGTTTTGGGTCCAATGAGCTTATGTAATCAGATGGAAAAATACTTCATTGTAATTAAGAAAATAGCAGTGACAAATTCCTTGTGGATGTTTTCACTATAATTAAAAGGAGAATTTCTGGTTCTTGCCAGTCGTTAATATTAACGTGCAACAGTAACTCTTTCAATCTCCCAAACTCACGTGTCTTCAAATTCAAGCATAGTATTAATCAGGATTCCTAATGAACATACTTAGCGCTGGAACCATCTGTGTGACTAATCAGTGTCATTAACTTTACACAGCCATACGGGGCAAAACCCAAAGTTACTCCAAACACGGTGCTTTAGTTTTTGCTCTACTTTTTCTACCATGGTTGCTTGGCATTCTCAAGACCCTAAGGAATGTTTTTCAAGAGGGTTTGGAGATGGCATTATCCCACAGCTTTGGGGACTAAGGCTGGGGACTTAATCAAACTCCCTGCTCGGTGTTAAATGTGTTGCCTCCAGGCAGAAGATGAGGCACTCTGACCACAGACAATGTGGAAGGAGAGCCAGAATTGTCATCACCTAGTTCTAAGGATAAAGAAAGGTCATCTGTCTCCAGCCCTAGCTCTTGAGCAGGGTTCTTTTTAATTGATCCAGAGATAAAAACTTGTTCATCGAGAATATAAACGTGTTCACATTGATCTGGCATTAGTAAGACTTAGGAAGACAGACAGTACGACTGAATAGTGCTGACTGGGGTAAAGCCTCACTTTTGAATAGGCTGTACCCAAACCACTTAATTTTAACCCTCACCACTTAAAGAGCTGTTGCTGGCTCCAGGCAGCTGTGAGAGCTAAGGCTGTCCTGGCTGCGGTGCCCATGCTGGGAAGAGCTAGTGAAGGGTTATTTACAGGCGACAGCTCAGGCGTTTAACCCAGAATTTTTACTTTCTCTATAAATTATTGCAATTAGTACATGACAGCCAATAAAATGAGTGAAAATACAGCATCTCATTATTAACCATAATTAAAGCAAGCATTAATTAAAAAGGTGAAACTAATGGAGGACATAAAATTAAATTGAGACAAAATTTAGGTTTCTGCATCCAATAACCCAGAACATCTATGATACACTGTCTGCCTAAACTTGGAGACACATAGTCATCTGCGTCCTGCATTTTGGTCCACGCTCTGCCCTGGATGTCCGAGTTCTGGACAAATGTGTCAGATGGAGCAACAAGTTGCCTGACTCCAGCCTGACTCCATTCCAACCCCGATACAAAGTAAAACAGCAGAAGTTCCTCACGGATCTCATGCAAAGATTGATACCACTAAAGCAGCAAACTGATTTACAAAACACTCAAGAAGCGAGGCTCAATGCTGGTGGATAAAAGACACAAGAAGTCAGTGCAGGAAAGCTTCTTGATAAAACCCTGTTTGAGAAGGAATTTGAGTGTATTTCACATATAATAATGTGTGAGTTCTTAATCAGGTTAGCTGTAAGTTTGGGGGTTGATATTAGTGATGCACCCATATTCATGAGGGATGTGGTGAAGAATTCTGTGTAATTCTAACCAGCTGAACAGCCACATGTGAAATGTGTTGTTACTGGGATAGCAATGGGCGTCATCCAGCAAGTGACAGGACACTGACAACTGCTTTGATAGCACAGACTCGTAAAGCATTTCTGTAACTGTTGCTTTGTTGCTTTTTTATTACGAAATGGCACAAAGTGGAAGAACTCACATGTTGCTTCCTCAACGCCTTGTTACCTTCCATGGTAAAATACACCATTTTCTAGTGATGGATTCAAGAATTGCCTCTTCTCTGACAACAAATTCCAGGCAGCAACACATGAAGGGGATTGTTACACTTCTTCAGCTGGCCTTGATCATGTCCCAGGGCAGGATTGGAGGTGTGCTGCTAATTGCTCAAGAATGTGCAGTCTGTTAACAGATTAGTGAAAACATTCCACAGGCACCTTCTTCTTTACAGTGAGAGGTAAACTTTTGACACTTCAGGACAATTTTGTCATTTCCTCATTTCTCTGTGATTCATTTAGGTGTGGGAAGTCTTACTCCAAGGCGCTGAGAGCTCTGTAAATGGCTAATGATTTCTGCACAGCCATAGCACACCTTGGTTTGCTATGTCAGTGCTGAGCAAAGGCAGCTCTTGAAACTGCAACCCTGCTTCTCCTTCCTCTGTGTTAGAAAAGGACACAAGATCCCTCAGTTACCAGATCCTACTAATTACATATGAATTCCTCCTAGAACTCTGTCAGAGATTTTGACTGGAATACTGAGGGGTTTGTATTCAGATCTATAGTTCAAAGCTATTTGTGTTAACAGGGCTTACAAGCCTTTTCAGTGCCTGCAGAGTACACTAAGTGAATGATGCCATGCACTCTCTCCTGCAACTTTTAGGGCAATTATCAACATCCCAAAGCAAAAAGAGAAACCTGAATTAATCCCTCCACACTGCTGGAGGATTCAGTGAATAACAAGAATAGGTGAATAGTTGGCTGGACCATGACGACTACATGCCAGTGTTATTCTCAAAAAGACAATCAGGCAATTTCAGACTAAGGCACATGGTAGACTGGAGGGCTCCTGCCATTCTTGTCTGCACCCCACCACTGCTGCAGCAAGGTGTCCCTGCACAGGCTTACTGATCAGCATGGGATTCATTACAGCATTTAGATTATATTCAGACACAGCTTAATAATTCTTACTGAAATTTGCCCTCAAGATGACCACGGCTGCTCTTCCAGCTATGCTAATCAGAAACAAAATCAGTTCACAAAAAAAGAGAGGAAGACAGTGATTGTTACTCTATAATATCCTGTGAAGTTTGTGTAACATTATTCATATCCTCTACCTAGCCAGGAATAAGAGGACTCATCCTGCTTCATATCCAGAAAAATAAAACATAGGGAAAAGTAAGATTACAGACAAAAACTGCAGAAACATCTACGTGAATCAGGAAACTAAGCTGCTTTAATTCATGTATACTGTGTAACATGGGAATTCTACTGTTTAGATGCTTCCTACAAGCAGCTGGGAGTCTAACCCAGCACAGGTTATTCACCAGCACCATGGGGCAATGCTGAGTCTCCTGTTGGATTCTCTGTTTTCCAGATTGAGGATAGCAAGATCACCAATGCCAGTATCCTTTTACAAATTGATAACGCTAACATGGCATCTGAAGACTTCAGGCTCAAGTAAGTTCTTCTTTGGTTTCCTGATTGAGGTGGAAAGAGGGTTAAGCAAAATATGGCTTTTTCTAGATAATCCAATATGCAACTGACTTCACGGAGGTTTTCTGGTGATACTGGGCAAATAAAACCAATGTAGAACAGGAAAAGAATCCAGAAAGGATAAAAAGGATGCAAAACCCACAAACGATTGCTGAACAGTCTTGAGTCACCCTGTTTATGATACTTAATTCAGGTCCTGAAGAGCAGGTTTTACAGCAGACACTTGATACTTGTGACAAAAGGCACTTAAAACTGTCACCTGGGAATACAAATTAACCCTTGCCTGCACTGCGCTTCCCCTGTCCAGTCCCAATCCATTTCCTGTATGCATCACCTCTTCCATCCAGCTCTGCAGGCAATACCTGTCCTGCAGTAACTTCTGCTTCCAAGTCTTCTCAGTCAGACTTCTCAGAAGTCATAAAGATTTGTCTTATTTTCAACAGATGATGAGGAGCTATTAAATAATCTCCCAGGTTTTGGTGATACTGTAGCAAACCTAAATCCTCTGAGCACTGCATTTCTGCCCGGCCTGGCCCTTCTTCCATTATCATTCAGTAGTGACACAAAAGGAAACTTGCAAAATGAGTCTGAGGGACTGAACATAGAAAACCTACCAGAGCCCACAAAAAATGAGGTAAAGCGAGAGATTTTTGAGGAGCAAAAGTGCTTCATATACCCAAGGGAAGACATGGTGGTGTCTTTCTGACCACCTCAATACAAGTGGCAAACTGCAAGAGGTTAGAGAGGAATGTTAAGAACTGGCTCCCATTACATTACCCCTGTTTTCTGAAGGACTGAAAAGTGACCAGTTTGGAAAAACTATAGCAAGCATTGATTGTTGATGCTGTTATCACATCTTCACTGGCAAACTTTTGAGAAGCATGCTCTCAAAGCTTTCACGGTGAATGTTAAAATGCAAAAAAGGAAAATGAAAGAAAGAGCAATTATTTCCTATTATATAGGAGGAATTGTGAGGAAGAAAGAAACCCAGTAATGAAACCCATCTGATTATTAAGACTATACAAGAATATTCATAGAATGTATTTTAGAAATAGAATGTGTTTCCTTGGGTGCTATGTTCTCTCTAGTTCCCTACACAGAAGACTCAAGCAAGCCGACTTCTTTTCCCTCCCAAAGGTATGAAGCAGAGAAGTCGCGCAGGCAGGGAGTGCAGCTTGATGTGGAGAACCTGCGGAAGGAGCTCGATGGCCTGACCATTATTACAACAGACCTGGAAATGGAAATCGAGGGCTTGAGAGAAGAGCACATCCTCAGGAGGAAAGACCATGAGGAGGTAGGAAAAGTTCCACTTGGTAAAACCCTATCACACAAATCTTTGCTACCATGTAATTAACTTTGAGGAAGATCCACAGTCTATAAATGGCATTGATGATTCAGAACCAAACCGTGTTTCTACACAGGCCAATGAGAGTCAGATGAGGCACAAACTTTGTGTGCTACTTTATCCACTAACCTGGGATTTCAGAGAGGATAACATTGCTGTATTTTCTCCCACTCTTTTCTAGTTATCTATCCATCTGTCATACATAGCTAATAATATCTTACACATTTGACAGGAATGTCCTCAGAAATACTTAGATACAAATACACACAGATTGCAAGTAAGTAGGAATTGTTACTGCTTGCTGGTGAGTTTTACTCATCACAGACTTTTTCCTCCACTCTGGATATACCATTTCACACAATCACAGAGCACAGAGGAGTGGCTGAGGTTGGAAGGGACCTCTCGAGTTCACATCAGCCAGCTGACCTGGCTAAACAGACCTTCATTCCAATAGGAATGGTTGCTGAAATCAAGTCAAAGGACTTACTCTTGGAAAACCCTGACCACAGTCATTAGATAATACTATTAATTATCCAAAAACACAGTGCTCTGCATCCTCTTGGAGCTATAGCCCCGTGGGCCCTGTTATTCCCACATATACAATGCCACTGCTCGACACTGTTTTCATTTTGCTTCATCGGACGTTGTTTTCAGTTATTACCTAAGGCAGAACCAAACATCCTACTTGGGATCTGTGGACTATTAGAATGGATAGTCGAAACACAAGGGTTACACAGCAGCAGGTGAAGCTGCCTTTGGCTGTAGTATCCTTATATCCTTACAGCCAACGATACTACTGAACAGCTGGAATAAAACAGTTCTTGGAAGCAGGGCAACCACCAGAGACATCGGTCTGGCCAGTTGATCTGCATTTTGGAGGCTGTGATGTCTTGATCTGCATTTTGGAGGCCGTGATGTCATACCCTGAAATGCTGCTTTGCTTAGTGCTTGTGAAAATGGTACCTAGCACATAAGATTGTGCTACAGCAACAGGAATGTTCCCAGACCTGCTTGACTTGTCCTGTAATTATGTTGTTTACACAGTAATTATATGCTTTAATCCAATTATTCCTTTAACAATTACACAGAACTTTTACATTGCTCTCCTGTAAACTTACAGTTCCATAAATATTAACATACAGGGGAAGAAAGATGAAATTACTGTTAGATTTTCATCAAAGGTTTTGGGTTCCTAATAGTTAAATAAATAAAAAATGGCAGTGCTTCAGCAAGCATGTATCTGCCAGGAATGTTCTATGAAGAGATCTTCTCACATGGTTTTTATTGAGCTCTCTGGCACAGTTTTGCCAAAGGACCAGATGTAAGTCACTGGTTTAAGTCACGTCACAGTGTTATTCATATATCAATTCTCCAAATAGTGTTAACTGAATATAGATAACAATTAACCTACCATAATGAAAAAATACTAGAGATATTGTGAGAGGGTGGAACTGAAGGAGACAAGACAGGGATGAAAACTTTCCACCTTCATAAACAAGTTTGCTTGTTTCCTCTGCTAATATATGAATAGAACATGGAAGCAAATCGCTCATCACAAGACTTCAAAGTCAATGTAAAAGTAAACGCAGCACCTCCTGAGGACTTAGCCAAGATTCTAGCAGAAATAAGAGAAGATTATGAAGCCATCATCGAAAAGAATCGTCAAAGCCTGGACAGCTGGTACAAGGAACAGGTAATGGCTGTTTCCTGCTCATTTCACAGATGTTGCTGTATGTGACTGACCAAACTCAGAAAGCTTTTCTCTTGCCTTTGCTCCCTAGAGCACAGCGATGTCTCTGGCAGCAACCCCGAACCCAGAGCAGATACAGCGCAATGAGACCGAGATCAAGGATCTCACACGTACATTACAGTCCCTGGATATCGAGCTGCAGGCACAGATGAGTAAGGTATCAACTGCAGACATCTCTGGCTGGTTACTTCATATATTCTCAGAAACAAGTCATGAACCAGCTCTTCATTCAAACCCATAGTGCAGCACAATTCCACTGTAGTTATTAAAGTATCAGTGACATTGCTGTGAAATTTGGACCACACTTGGCTTTACCAGAATATGTAAAATAGATTTGAGACCACTGACAAGAAGGGAAAACTTTATGGCTCTCCTTAAAACAAAATAAAGAGATACTATCATGGGATAGCTGACTCCACACTCTAGAAAGAAAAAATGGCCTTGAAGTCAGATAGTAGTAAAATTTCATATTTATAACCCTTATAAGAATACATGAAATATATGAACTGTGAAAAATGGTGGGAAATCTTCAAAAGTGTTACTCAGCTCTTGTATGGTTCAAGCTCACATACTCATGGCTTGGAGACTTCAGAGCAATTCTGGGCAGTAAATGCAAGACAGACAAAGAGTCACCAGTTCCAGGGGCGCAGCCTGTGAGCAGAACCACTGAGGGGTAAATCACTCAGGTTTTGCCTCTCATTATGCACACACGACACAGCCTTATGATCCTGCTGCCTTCACAGGAATAGTCATGCAAATGTCTGAGTGTTTAAATTACCACAGTCTTAATTTTGCAATCTTCTAGCTAGAGACCAAATTTGCTGGCATTTCTGCCTTGTGACTACCACATAAACACTAATCATGGTATTGGTATTATCTACTCCGTCAGAAACACATGCTGGAAGATACCTTGGCTGACACTCGGAATTACTACGCTGTTGCACTTCAAAACATGCAGCAGATCATCTCCAAATGTGAGGAAGACCTAAGCCAGGTTCGTCATGACATTAAGCAGCAAAATAACCAATACAAGGTTCTTCTTGGGATCAAAACCCGCCTGGAGAAGGAAATTTCCACCTACCGCCTGCTGCTGGAAGGGAATGCTGACGGGTAAGGCAGAGCCGCCGGGACTGGAACAGATGAGAAGAGAGTTCTCATATTCGGGTTATTTATTTGTTTGTTTGTTTATGCTTAATCAAAGCTTGTGAGTTCCAGCCTACATCAAGGGTTGGTATTTTAATGGGATGGATCATAATAAAAAGCCTGAACCACTTGGTATACAGAGAAACCTGTACCCATGGGATTGGGATTACCTAAATTAATATCACTTTTCATTAAAGAAAAAAACCACCCTATATTCCCACAGCATGCCAGCCTCAGCAAAGGAGAAAATGCCAAGTTCAGTAAAATTCAGAGCCATTTTCTATATTTCAAACAAATTCTAGATCAAAAAGAAGCCTGAAGACAAGTTTCAATTTTTTTTTGGCTGGTCACAAGCACGCAAATGGGCAGAGCACATTCCGACACTGATGCTGGCTGCTTCTCCCCATCCCTGCCCTGCCTGAAGCCTCTGCTTGCAGCAGTCCTGGAGCCTCTACTGCTTATTCTCTCACCTTGTATACAGAGTATTGTCTTCTTTACCCAAAATCAGAACAAGGAAGCTTAGCACCCTTCAGAGCTGACAGTCTCAGAGAGGCCGCAACACAGCACCAATTACAGGGTTATTTGTAAGAAGCCAAAGGGGATCAGGTTGAGGAACTCCTAACACAGGCAGAACAGGGCAGCTGCCCACAGCGAACAACAGCCAGTGTCCACAGGACTGGCTTCAGGTCAGAGTATCAGTAGCTGAGACTATCCCAAGAAGAAAAATTCTCGTGGTGTGAAAGCATTATGTTTCTCTTTTCCCAGTGGTGGGAGGTCTCCTTAGAATCAGTGAGCAGAAGGGGATGAAGAACTTCTGGAAATCAGCATAATCATTATCTTTTCTCTGTTTCATTATCCTTACAGGATCGCAAGAAAATGTGATGCAAGAGCTAAAGGTAAAAGCCCCCTATTTGGTTCTCTATAGACTCTCCATTATTGTTATTTCCAATCATATTCTACTCAGAATAATGTTACCCTTCCATGACTGAGCTGTGAAAGGTTTTCAGACCAGTTATTGTACATGCAGGCCATATTATAAAATAACTCCCATGATCCATTGGTCCTGTGAAGGGCTGCACCTCAGAGCACGTTCTGCTGGGGCTGCCACTCATGGAGTACCTTCAGACTGACCTCTGCTACCCAAACACAAGTGCAACGCTCAGACTCAGGACTAAAGCTTTCATGGCATAGGAGGAGGCACAGAGACTCCATTTAGTGACTAAAACTGTGTTAGGGCTTGGGAACAAACAATAAATCTGCATGTCTGGCAACTCACAATCCGGCATGAGCATGACCTACAGACATGCAGGAGAATCTGCTCTGAAGTTACATTTGCATTGGCTGGGATGGAGCTGTGTTATTCATTTGCCCTGACCTGGACAAGACTTGGGGTGACTTTCTGGCAGTACATTTCACAAAGAGCAGTAATAAGTATTGACCTAAAGGGCAACATGTGAAGATAAATCAGTTGAGGAGGTAGCTGGTAAATGACTGTAAATGAAGCTTTCCCTGCATCAGCTTCTCTCAGCACTGCTTCTTGTCTAACTCAGCTCTCTTCTTCTTTCAGAACATGCTGGGCTGACCAAAAGAAAGATCAAAGCAATTGTCCACGACAGTGTGAATGGGCAGGTGGTGTCCTCCACCATCAATGAGATCCACCAGCAAGCATGAAGTAGAAAGCTCTGCTGACTCCTGGCTTTCTTGGCAGCCTGAGCTGCGACAACCCTTCTGTGCACCTATGTGCTGTTATGTTGGTCTCCCTGTGTGTAAAACAGGGATCCTGTTGTGAGCTCTCTCCTCCCATGGTGTGCAGCTCGATGATCAAAGGTGCCCTACAGAGTTAAGTAGAGCTGATATTGTAAATTTAAAGAGCTTTTAGTCATCAAAATGCCAAAGAAAAGCTATTCAATGGAAATGACTGGCTGAGCTGGTAATATATGTACTATGCACATCTCACTGGGGCATGAATCTCCATCTGTGATTCATTTATTGCTCTGCAAATTAACTATAATTTAAAGTGAATAATCTCTCAGCTTTTCTGCTGGTCTTATGTTTCTCAGCATATACCTCACCGCAGCCAATAAATTCTTTTCCATTACTTGTCTGGTCATTGGAATTTACTATTTTGCTTTTTCTCACACATGCACCCAAGTGGCAGGTTATTGACATAGGTCAGGACTGCAGAAATCTCATTGTTTCAGGAGGTATAAAACTGGAAGGACATAACAAAGAAGACAAAGAAGACAAGAGGTGACACAAGGTATACATGACATTTGCATAAGCAAAACTATTAGACTTCCCTATGTACAACGTTTCAATGTCACCATTTAAAACAGCATTATTAGCAGCGTTATTGTAAAGTACACTCACTTTACTGCAGCAGTCACCTCAGAAACATTTCTTTGTTCTTCAGCTTTAGAGAAATTTTCTGCAACTGCCTTTACACCCCTTCCTTCAGAGACCACAAGCACTTTTCCAGATACTCTCATTTTTTTCTCACTGACACATTTCAGTTATTTGCTTTCACATTAATGTTCCCTGGGTTTGGTGATGGGCTCAGTGGTCAGGACAGACTGGTGTATGCAGCGTGTGCTACGGGCAAGGGAGAGGCCCAAATGCTTAAGCGAAGTTCAAGCTTCTTCCCCCTTCTCCCATCAGCCCAAGCACTGCCAAGCAGGAGACCCTCATAGCAACAGGAGAACTCCCAGTGATACACAAAGCCAAAAACTGAGCAAGAAAAAGAGGACTATTATCAGGCCTGTTAGAGGAAGACTGTAAAGCAGAACGAAGAGAGACAAAATGGAGCACAGTGAATGCCTGTACAGATTTGCATTCCAAAGTCAATGTCTGCATATAAACCAGTGTGTTCAGGGCAGTCTCATATTCATGAGCAAAACTGTCATTGTGCTCTTTCGTACTCACTCCTAAGGCACTCTCAGACAGGATTCCTGCTCCCAGCTTTCCTTTGAAACAAGGCTTACATAAGAAAGTGAAAATTTCAAAGAAAATGCAGATTTATTACAAAGTCCATCTCCGTGATACAATGTTTTCCTACTGGCATGTTAGGACCAGCTCAGGATTCCCCTTTGCCCCCCCCCCCCAACTCTCCACCCCTGTTGCACAAAGAGATCCCAAAAGCATTGAATGGATTACCTAATGGTTTCTTTAAATTGGGTAAAACTTGTAGTACAGGATTAGTAACTCTTGGCTAATTAACAATGTCCTTCCTTATGGCTTACCAGATTCAACAAGCCAGACCTGGTGTTTGCAGCATCTGGACAAAATACGCCCAGGTTTTCTTAAACAGTTTTCTCTGTAATTTAAAGCTGTATTCCCTTATCACATTTACAGAGCATAACCCCATTGCTGTGATACACATAATTAGTATTATTTCCAAATCAAAGGGAAGTATCTCTGCTTTGTGCTAGGTTCTGCTTGTGCTAAACTACAGGGAAAGAAGGAAAAACAAAAAATGGACATGCTTTATAGAACACACCCGTCCTTCGTTAACATTCCTGAGCAATGCATTGCCTTTACTCATGCCCTAGTGTCCCCTCACACAGTGGTAGAGATGCTGCACACTCTGGTGTTAGGCCTGGCTACACTCCCAATGGCACTGGCCAAGCTGTAGCAGAATTCCCCTTCCACACCACTTCCCTGATGGCTTTAACCTCCTCTCACCCCTGTGCCAGTGCATTCTGTAATGGTCAGACCAGCACAGCTCACACTGACCTCACCGTCTGCTCTGTTTACAAACACCAGTACAGGGCCATAGCTCTAACACATGAAGTAAACCAGGCAGTCCTTAGGCATACAAGCACTACTTACACAACGTTCTGGTTTCTAAATAAAAGCAGTATTCTGTGGCAAAAGTGGGTTATTTCTGGGGGGTTCTTCATGGCTTTAGAATACTCTGTACAACTGCCAATTTCCTTTCTGTTCCAGTTTATGATGCCACGTCCCCAGCCATATGTTGCCCTGTATCTAGTGGTTATTCATTATTTCTGAACTTGTGTTCTGGCAGATAAGCTATGCTTTTCTAAATGTATTAGGGTATGTCTGCTCCCTACATAATAACTAATGATACTTCTATTTACCACTTGCATGCACTGGTACCATTCTATTCTCATAACATGCCGAGAGATGAAGTTAGGGAGATAATGAAGGGGGGTAATATTATCATTCCCATTTTATTGCTTGAGAAACTGGAAAAGAGATGACACAAGTTGCTCAAGGCTGCAGAGAAAGCCACTGATAGCGACTAAATGAGACTTCATCACTTCACAGCTTCTACTTACCCAGCTATTAGATAATATAACTTCCCCAAGAGCCATTCTCTAGTTACTGCAATGCTTTCTGTACCTGATGGCACAGTAGAGAGAACTTGATGGATTCATTTCCAGCATGTACTGCTGGGCAAGACGCTGCACACTGATGATGTTCTTCAATGTACATGTGCCAATAGCTCTACTCATCAGTCCATAAAGAGCACTGGGCCTGGGTGCCTTTGGTGATGCTGTACTTTTTGTGGGACTTTAAAAAAGAAATGGCGTACATGTTCCCTTCCCTTAGTCTCAGATCAGTGTCTTGAAGGAAAGGAAACTTTAAGGAGTGTGATTCTGTACTGCTTGAAAAATAGTTTTATTAATTCTTTGCATTAAAACTGATTAAACTCCAGTAGCTGGGATTAATTCTACTTCAGTATTAAATATACACAGAAGTGCTGTTTCAACATCAAGGCAGTGACTGACCCAGGCCCAAAGAAACTGCAGTTCTAAAAGTCTGAACTATCACACAAAATAACCCGCTTAAGGTGAATGTATACCATTTCCCATAAATGGAATAGGATAACAAAAAAATATCAAGAGAAGAGAATGTTCTTTCTAAGTCTCAAGGAATGATGTAACAATACTCCTGCAAACTAACAAGCCACAGGAGCTCACAGTCTATAAAAGGAGGCTGAAACCATCCGCATTCACAAATCACTGCTTGTAGTTTCACCTGCCATTTAAGGAAGTCCTGCACTAAATAATCCTCCAAGGTGATTTATAACAGACTTGACTGCACTCCAGGACATGTATGAGTCAGAGCTCATTTCACTTGTAGAAATGGTAAAACTTATTAAGGTATATTACAATACGCAGCTTTGGTAAGTGAATTGTTGATCCCCTGGAAGAAGTCTGCAATGAGGTAATGCCACAGTGGTTTGTGCTATTAATCACACATTCCTTCTGGTGATGTGGCCACACATTGGCAGGTTTCTTTCTTATTTATGAACAAGACATTTCTGTAGAATGCGAAATTTCTGCTTTCTGCTGCCTTGTTAATCCAGGTGCAGAGTTAATGAAGTAGTTTCAGAAAGAAGAAAGGAGAATCCAGCATTTATAGCACTGCTAAAACCACTGTTCACATGCTATTATTGAAGGAGAGAGAATAGGCAGAAGAGCCGGTAAAACATTTCACAATGTCCACACCCTGACCTATAAAGGTTTCTACAGTTTTGCTGGGAGATGCCTGGTCCTGTGGATGAATCATTTAGAAAAGGGAAGGATCTATAAACAGGGAAGCAAGGGAAGAATAAGGCTTGAGAGGCCTGCACCCCCCATCCTCCTCAGGTCCAGAATTATATGCCAAAAGCATCTTAACTATTGACTGTACTCGTACTTCTGGCTCTGTGAAATGATGCGTGAATTTTCAGTATGCATTGCTTCCTCAGAATTCCTTCCTCAGTCCATTTCTTCATTCCTTCTTAATGTGGATTCTTGAGGTACTTTTAACTGTACAACCACAGTGAAATGAGTCTCTTAAGCCACACATCCGGGGGCTGGCATAAAAAAATGTTTGCCCAAATATCATATTAAGCTGAAGCATCAACATCTTACAGTCTGCTGCCCCTGTGACAGCAGCTCATAGCACTAGACATGACCTAATGTTGAAGCAGGTGCATGGCTGCTCCTTCTGGACATATTAATTTGCCTTTTGAAAGTTTGAATATGCATCAGAAGCTTAAAGGCATAAAATCATAACATCAGCTGTGGCAAAAGCACTTTCAATAACTATCTAGACTTCAGGGGTAATTGTTTTTTGCTTTCCAACATCCTAAGGACAAGTCAAAAGGACATTTGATAGGTTGTTATTAGGCCCTATAGAAAGCAATGAAAACAAGGAATATCATTTGAGAAACACGTATTTGAGTTGAGAGGAATAATTATTTGGAGCAGGCAGGGAAAAGAAGGAGGAACAAACCAGCTGCAGCAGCTGACAACTCTACAGTGCTTCTCTGGAGCAGACACTCACAGTCTGCTGCTCTTAAAAGACAAAGTCCCTGCGCCGACTCAGCCCTCCAGCATGCACACAAGACATTAAAGCATGAAATGCATAAAACAAACACACTGGAAGCAATTCAGCTACCAAGACATTCTGTGAGTTTACACGTTCCACTGGAAATAACATTGCTGCTGTGCAGGGAAAAAAAAGTAGAAACAAGCCCAAAGAAACCTTTTCTTTCATGTCTAGAGTTTACTGCTCACTAAATATTAAGATACTCAAGCATTAGTCATAAAGGAAGGGGCATAATTCAAAGGGATAATGCACATACCCATCCTTAGCAATTCAGCTTTCAAGATTTAGACAGCTGTATAGTACTTGTTGCCACTGCTTACAAGCTCACTGCTATACACAAAGCTAAACTCCCATAATTACAGCTCGTGGCTGGGAAGAGAAATATTACTTCAAACATTTGGCCGCAAGAGCTATGCAAAATATTCTTCTTCTGGATACAGGCGCAGAAAAGTGGGTAACATGTGAAATTCTGTTATGTAATCTGTGAATTTCATTACCCGCGCTCAGGTTCCAGCACGGAGCCTCCCGCTGCAGCAGGCACCGCGCCGATGGGAACAGGAACTCTTTCAGAAGGCGTGTGCTGGCCTCTAGTGACAACCAGGCGGATGCACACCAGGCCCCGGCCCCGGGCAGGCGCTGCGGTGGATCCTCTCCTGTCGGTACCTGTGACCCCTGCGAGGCTCCTAAAACCGTGTCTGCTCAAGTATTTCTGTAATGGCCGTTCCCAAAAGCGCACAACCTTCTCCAGGGCAGTACTG